TCACTGGAATGAAGATGGGGTGGGTGGGCGGGACTCTTATTTGCTTATAAAATATTCTAAATTAAAAATTTATACTTAGCCCCGCCCACCCACCCGCTCTCTCATTTTTCTTCGTCAGAAATGAAAGTAAATGTTATAGCAAATAAGTAGTATAACAAAAAAAAAATCAATTAACGTTTTTTTAACAGCCTACGTTCTATTAGTGGGTGGGTATAGCTAGTATTTGTTAAAATAAGGTTGATTTTGATAAATCACTGAATAATATTAATAGTAATCACTGGAATAAAGAGAGGGTTGGTGGGCGGGGCTATTGCTTGGTCATAAAAGATTCTGTATGAGAAAGTTAAACTTAGCCCCGCCCACCCACCCGTTCTCGAATTTTTTTTCTTCAGAAATACAAAATAAATGTTATAGCAAATAAGCAATATAACAAAAAAATTACGATTAACGCTTTTTTTAACAATCTACATTCTATTAGTGGGTGGGCATACCTAGTATTTGTTAAAATAAGAATGATTTTGGTAAATGACTGAACAAAATTAACATTAATCACTGGAATGACGAGGGGGTCGGTGGGCGGGGCTATTGCTTGCTTATAAAAGATTCTGTGTGAGAAAAATAAACTTAGCCCCGCCCACCCACCCGTTCTCACATTTTTCTTCGTCAGAAATATGAAATACATGTTATAGCAAATAAGTAGTATAACAAAAAAAAATTCAATTAACGCTTTTTTTACCAGCCTACGTTCTGTTAGTGGGTGGGTATAGCTTGTATTTGTTAAAATAAGATTGACTTTGGTAAATCACTGAACAATATTAATAGTAATCACTGGAACAAAGACAGGGTGGGTGGGCGGGGTTATTGCTTGGTCATAAAATATTCTGTATGAGAAAGTTAAACTTAGCCCCGCCCACCCACCCGTTCTCTCATTTTTTCTTCAGAAATACGAAATAAATGTTATAGCAAATAAGCAAGATAACAAAAAAATTACAATTAACGCTTTTTTTAACAACCTACATTCTATTAGTGGGTGGGCATAGCTAGTATTTGTTAAAATAAGATTGACTTTGGTAAATGACTGAACAACATTAACATTAATCACTGGAATGAAGAGGGGGTGGGCGGGCGGGGCTATTGCATGCTTATAAAAGATTCTGTGTGAGAAAGTTGATTTTAGCCCCACCCATAAACCCGTTCTCTCATTTTTTTCTTCGGAAATAAGAAATAAATGTTATAGCAAATAAGTTGTATAACAAAAAATTACGATTAACGCCTTTTTTTAACAAACTAGGCTCTATTAGTGGGTGGGTATACATAATATTTGTTAAAATAAGATTGATTTTGGTAAATGACTGTACAATATTAACAGTAATCACTGGAATGAAGAGGGGGTGGGTGGGCGGGGCTATTGTTTGCTTATAAGAGATTCTGTATGAAAAATTTAAACTTAACCCCGCCCACCCACCCGTTCTCTTTTTTTTTCTTCAGAAATAAGAAATTTATGTTATAGCGAATAAGCAGTATAACAAAAAAAAATACGATTAACGCTTTTTTTATCACCCTACGCTCTATTAATGGATATACACAGTATTTGTTAAAGTAATACTGATTTGGGTAAATGACTGAACAATATTAAGAGTGATCACGGGAATGAAGAGGGGGTGGGTGGGTGGGGCTATTGCTTGCTTATAAAAAATTCTGAATAAAAAATTTAAAATTAGCCCCACCCACCCACCCGTTCTTTTATTTTTTTCTTCAGAAATAAGAAATAAATGTTAGAGCAAATAAGAACTATAACAAAAAAAATGCGATCAACGCCTACGTTCTGTTAGTTCCCATTTTCACTGTGGAAGGAACATAATTATAATTCACACCGCCCACCCACCCTACCTCCATTTCAGTGATTCATTTTGTCTAGTTCGAATGAAAGGTGGACTTCAACTGAAGAGAGATAAAATCGTTAGAATGCGAATAGCGTGTGTGGGCGGGGCTAGCATCGGCTAAGGTAAGATTGATTTTGGTAAATGACATACCCTCTAAGAAACGAAAGAGTGAGTGGGAAGAGCTAGTACTTGCTAAGATAAGACTGACTGTAGCAAACGACATATCCTCAAAGAAAATAGAGGGTGGGTGGGCGGGGTTAGTACTTGTTAAGATAAGATTGATTTTGGTAAATAACATCTTCTAAGAAAAAAAAGGTGGGTGGGCGGGGAGAAAACTTGCTAAGCAAAGACTGAATAATATTAAGAGTAATCACTGGAACGAAGAAGAGGTGGGTGGGCGGGGCTACTGCTTGCTCATTAAACTAGAAAAAAAACTAAATTTAGCCCTATCCACCTGGTTTCTCCATTTCACTGGATTATTTTATTTAGTGTAAAATGGAAATTGAAAAATAGCAGTATTGTATTCCCAAAATTTTCTCGCAAAGTGAGAGCCGTTTCTGATTTAATCAATAAAATAAATTGATTCATTCATTAATTTTTTGGAGCTACATGTTTAAGCAAATATAAAAAATATGAATGCGATGATAAATTACAAATATAGACAGATCATATTTTGCACATTTTAGATATGATTTATTCGGCAAAATTTTTAGATTATATCATCAATTTTTTGAGGTGGATAAACAGATACATTACAATAACCTCAAAGCGTCTAGAAGATTTCAAACTATTTAGTTTGGTAATTCTTGATTTAATCAATACAATAAATTGACTCAGTCATTAATTTTTGAGACACCCTCAAAACAGACTCATATTTTCTACAATTCGAATTGAGTTTTTTTGTACACAATTTTGTGATGACGTCATCAACACTTTTTGGCACATTACAAACCCTCTAAGAAAATAGAGGACGGGTGGGCATAGCTAATATTTGTTATTATAAGATTGGTTTTGGTAAATGACTGACCAATATTAAGAATAATCACCGGAATGAAGAGGGGGTGGGTGGGCGGGGCTATTGCTTGTATATAAAAGACTGTCTGAAAAAATGAAACTTAGCCCCGCCCACCCACCCGTTCTCTATTTTTTTTTTCTTCAGAAATAAGAAATAAATGTTATAGCAAGTAAGAACTAAAAAAAAAAGGCGAATAACGCCTACGTTCTATTAGTTCCCATTCTCACTTTAAAAAGAATATATGATTCGTCCCGCCCACCCACCCTAGCTCCATTTCAGTGATTCATTTTTTTGTAGTCAGAATAAAAGGTGGATCTCAATTGACGAGTGATAAATTCGTTAGAATAAGAACAGAGTGTGGACGGGGCTAAGATAAGATTGATTGTGGCAAACCACATACTCTCTAAGAAAATAGAAGGCGGGGGGGCGGGGCTAGTACTTGTTTAGATAAGACTGATTTTGGTAGATGACATATATTCCAAGAAAAAAAAGGGTGGGTGGGCGGGGCGAAAACTTGCTAAGCAAGGACTGAACAATATCAACAGTAGTCACTGAAACGAAAAAAACTAAATTTAGGCCTGCTCACCTCCTTTCTCCATTTCACTGGCTTATTTAATTTTAGTGTAAGATGGAAATTAAAAAATAACAGTATTGTATTCCCAAAATTTTCTGTTTTACACGACCTATTAATTAGACATCTTAACCAATAATAATATACAACAAAACAAAAATATTAAATTCCTTAAATATCTAAATTGGTTATTTACACTTGTAAAATAAGTACAATTAATAGATTTTTATTAACCTAAGTTTAATTGTAATATTTCAAAAGAATTTTTTTCTAATTGTTTGCGTCAAATTAAATAAGAGTGCGTCAGAAGTTCCGTTCACTACAGAATATATAAATTGTATTTTTACAATTCCTAAAGAGATAGTTTCGATTTTTTTCCGGAAAAAGCAAATCACCCACAAAATTAGCAAACATATGCTCAAACCGACAAAACTGATCGTCAAAATATGTAATAATTAATCTACGTCAATCAATTAAAAAAAGATAATTCAGATAAACTCTAAAGCATTTATTTGCCAAATTAAAAATACGGGATATGCGAATTGTATACAATCCGTCTCTACTGATCAAGATTCTGGGACACCCTTTAACCAAGGTTAGAAGTGTCTGAATTATTATCACCATGAGATTAAGCTGTTTAATTAAGCATTAAATATGAAAATGCTATTATTCAAGATAATATAAGTTACATGTAATCTGAAAACTTAATCAAAATTAAATGGTCATAAATTTTTACACAAATAAATAACTTAAACGGTGCTTTAATATTCACTGTGAATTTTCTAGCCCCAAGTGTAAGTAAAGTTGTCCTATTAAATATAGAGCTAAAAATATTCCACTTTTATCGCAAACAAGTTTAAAAAGATACTTTAAAATATAATCCAATCATTATTAACCGAAATGCTAATAGATAATGATCTAAAATTCAAATTACAAAAGATTTTACATGTGGAACGTGTTCGCAGGTTATTGGTATTTCAAAGATCCAGATTTATCACCGTATGGTAACGGCGCTAAATAAACTATAACTGCACCACAAGGGCTCGCCCATCAAATCTCACATCCGTATTACACGTCGTATTTGCATCGACCACTGCCGGTCATCCGGCACTAAAACAACCCATGAGCGAAATTCAATCAGCGGAGACAAATTGCCCAAAAACTAAACTTATGGCCACCCTTTTTGCAAAATTTAATAAGTTGTAGTGTCACGCTTCTGAATCACGTTTCTTGCTCATATTTTTCAAACGGTTTATTGATAGGTTGATTTATTGCCAATATTTCCGTTTCCTTTTTCATATTTATTTTCGTTTTTCGTTCCCGGCGTACCCATTTCGTATGCAGAAAGAATTCCTGCAAGTTCGTAAGAAAATCACGCCGGATTTTAATGACTTTATTGTGGCTAGGTGTCGAGTCTTGAAGCTAATCAAGCGTACGAAATTACTCTTTTTTTCCGGGCTTTTTTGGCGTGAATCCAACGTGGATGACCTTCCATGGGCGTGGTATGGAGAATCGTCGTGTAGGAAAACGGCAAGTGACCAGCCCGACCTATATAAAGTAGCTACCGGGTGTCATGGGCATCATTCGAACCCAGTCTACTAGACGAACACTTCCACAATGGCCTTCAAAGTGAGTAATTTTTTGAGTATTTATTAACAGAAATTGTTTTATGTAGAGTGCGTTAACGCGGCTTTGACGCGAAATTGATGTGAAATTTTGCTAGAATTAACTGACGGAAAATTAATTTAAGGTTCCATTTAGTGTAATAACTTCTCGATTTTGTGCTACCCTTTCATGTCCGTTTAACCGCGTTTGACGACTAACGGCCGAATCGGTTCGAGTGTTTTAGTCAAATTAGGTTAAATTTTACTGGGAAGCGGCACGGCAGGAGATAATCGGATTTTTTGAAAATTTTTATTATTTTTTAATTGCAGTAACCCGTTTTTGTTACTTTTTGATTTTTCTAGATTTTAACCTTAGCTATTTTTTTTAAAGTTATTGATTATGATATACGCGATTTTCCGACTTAATCACATTTAAACTATTAAATGACGATATTTTTCTTTATATTCGCTTGTCTAAACTCTTTCGATTTAGATTTTTAGTAGAAAATTAAAAAACTCTTTTGAAAAAAAAAAAAATAAATAAAATTTATAACAACATGTTCCGATTTAATTTTAAAATTACAAAATCGAATGTTTGCAAACGTTTTAAGGTTATCGGAAGCATGGTAAATCGTTAGACAAGATTTGTCCGTTTAGAGTCCTCAAGAATTGACGATGTTATTTTACAATTTTGTCGAATAAATGTTATTGAAATGTTGAAAATTTACATAGTCTTGAACTTGTGATTTATGAATCCGTGTTGAATTTTTATCCTAAACAACCAGATTTTTGAAAAAATATTATAGATATAAAAATTTTTCGATTTCTCAGTTTTTCAACTTTCGATTTTTAAAAGTCTAGATTTTCCAATTTCTCGATTTCCCAATTTTTTAGTGCTCCGATATTTCAATTTTTCGAATTTTTAAATTTTAGATTTTTAAAGTTATTGATGTTCCAATTTTTGGATCTTTGGATTTTTCGACTTCTCGGTTTTGGTTTTTCGGTTTTTTAATTTTTCGATTTAAAATTCTTTTTATTTTTTTATTTTTCATTTTTTCGATAACTGTTTCAATTTTCATATTTATTGACTGTTTTTATTTTAAATTTTTCAATTTTCCAATTTTTGACTGTTCGATTTTTAAAATTTTTGCCTATTTCGATTTCTCAAATTTTCGATATTTCTGATCGATGATTCAATTTTTCGAATTTTTAAATTTTAGATTTTCCAATTTTTTGATGTTTCGATTATTGGATATATATAACCGTTTTTTAATTTTTCGTTTTTTAAAATTTTTGATATCTCAATTTTTCACTTTTTCGGCTTAGTTTTCAGTTTCTCGATTTTGCAATGTTTAGATTTTTCGGTTTGTCGAAATTTTGATGTTTCGATTTTCTGAATGTTCAATTTCTCGATTTTTTGATTTTTCAATATTTCAATGTATCGAATTTTTTTTATTTAAAATTTTTCAATTTTCCGATTTTTAACTTTACGTTTTTTCAATTTTCGCCTATTTCAGTTTCTCAATTCTTCGATTTTTTAACCTCTCCACATTTAGATTTCTCGATGTTTCACTATTTCAATACTTCAGTTTCTCGATTTTTCAACTGTTGCGATATGTTAAATTTTGAATTCTCGATTTTTCGTATTTTCGATTTTTCCACTTTCCGATTTTTAAATTAGATTTTTCAGTTTTTCAGTTTTTCGATTTTTCAAATTTTCAATGAATCGATTTCTTAATTTTTCGATTTTGAAATTTGTATATTAATCCACTTTTTGATTTTCCTATTTCTCGATTTCTCGGCTTTTCAATGTTTCGATTTTTTAGGTTTTTGAATTTTCAATTTTTCGAGTTCTGGATTTTTCGATTTCCCGATTCTTCAATTTTACAAAGTGTCAGTTTTGAGATTTATCTATCTTTAGATTCTTCAATTTCTCGGTTCATCAAATTTTCCATTTCTCGATTTCTGCATTTTCCGACTTTTAAATTTCTCGATTATTTGACGCTCCAAAGTCTCTTTTTTCAGTTTTCCAGTTTTTAGATTTATGATTATTTAGATTATTGAATTTTCAAGCTTTCTACTTTTCGGCTTTTCGATTTCTCAGCTTTTCAATTTTTCGATTCTTTAGTTTTTCTTACGTTTTTCAATATTAATGTTTTGGGATTTTTCAGTTTTTTTTTCAATTTTTCGATTGTTCGACTTCTCGAGTTTTTACATTTTCGATTTTCAATTTTTCGACTTTTTAACTTCTAGATTTTCCGAAAGCTCGATTCCTCAATTTTTCAATTTATCGATATTTAAATTTTTCGATTTTTCAGTTTTTCAAATTTTCAATTTTCTATTTGTCGACTTTTTTTTATTTTAAATTTATCAATTTTCAAATGTTTTAAGTTTTGCACTATTTCGATTTCTCAATTTTTCTATTTTTCGATTCCTTAATTTTTCAATGTTTTGATTTTTGGAGTTTTTAATTTTACGATTCCTCAATTTTCCCTTCGTTTTCCAATTTTTCGATATTTCTGTTTTGGGATCTTTCAATATATTTTTTTCAATTTTTCGATTTTTAAAATTCTAGATTTTACGAAAGCTCGATTTCCCAATTTTCAGTTCATCGATCAATTTTTCGAATTTTCACATTTTAGATTTTTTGATTTTTCATTATTTCGGGGTAAATTTTGCGATTTTTCATTTTTTCAAATTTTCAATTTTCTATTTGTCGACTTTTTTTATTTTAAATTTTTCAATTTTCCGATTTTTTAAATTTTGGGCCTTTTCGATTTTTCGATTCCTTAATTTTTCCATGTTTCGAATGTTGGAGTTTTCAATTTTACGATTCATCAATTTTCCAATTTTTCAATATTTCTGTTTTGGGATTTTTCATTATTTTGCTTCTTCAATTTTTCCATTGTTCGACTTCTAAAGTTTTTGCATTTTCGATTTTTCAATTTTTTTAATTTTTCGTTCAAAATTTTTGATATTTTGATTTATCATTTTTTCGGTGAATTTTTCGATTTTTCAGTTTTTCAAATTGTCAATTTTCTATTTGTCGACTTTTTTTATTTTAAATTTTTCAATTTTCAAATGTTTTAAATTTTGCACTATTTCGATTTCTCAATTTTTCGATTTTCCGATTCCTTAATTTTTCAATGTTTTGATTTTTGGAATTTTTAATTTTACGATTTCTCAATTTTCCTTTCGTTTTCCAATTTTTCGATATTTCTGTTTTGGGATCTTTCAGTATATTTTTTTTCAATTTTTCGATTGTCCGACTTCTCGATTTTTAACATTTTCGATTTTTAAATTTCTAAATTTTACGAAAGCTTGATTTCCCAATTTTTCAGTTCATCGATCAACTTTTCGAATTTGCACATTTTAGATTTTTTGATTTTTCATTTTTTTGGTAAATTTTTCGATTTTTCATTTGTTCAAATTTTCATTTTTCTATTTGTCGACTTTTTTTATTTAAAATTTTTCAATTTTCCGATTTTTTAAATTTTAGGGTATTTCGATTTTTCGATTCCTTAATTTTTCCATGTTTCGAATGTTGGAGTTTTCAATTTTACGATTCATCAATTTTCCAATTTTTCAATATTTCTGTTTTGGGATTTTTCATGATTTTTCTTCTTCAATTTTTCCATTGTTCGACTTCTAGAGTTTTTACATTTTCGATTTTTCAATTTTTTAATTTTTCGTTTTTTAAAATTTTTGATATTTCGATTTATCATTTTTTCGGTTTATTTTTCAGTTTTTCGATTTTTCGTTGTTTAGATTTTTCGATTTGTCGAGATTTTGATATTTCGATTATCTGAATATTCAATTTCTCCATTTTTCGATGTTTTAATTTTTCTATACTTAGTTTTTCCATTTTTCCATTGTTGCTATTTGTTAAATTTTGAATTCTCGATTGCTCGATTTTTAGACTTTCCGATTTTAAAATTTTAGATTTTTCAATTTTTCGATATTTTAATTGTTCAGTTTTAATAGTTTTTTTCGACTATTCCATTTTTTAGTTCTTTGATACTTGTATTTTTCCATATTTTGAATTTTTAAGTTTTTAAGTTTTCAGTTCTTTGATATTTGAATTTTTGGATTTTTTTAATTATGAATTTTTCGATTTTACGATTTTTTGATGTTTCGATTTCTTGACACCTCGGTTATTCGATTTTTAAAATTTTTCAACAGTTCGATTTTTAGACTTCTCGATTTGTCAGGTCTTGGATTTCTCAATTTTTCAATATGTCAATTTTGAGTACGTGTCAATTTCTGGATTTTTCAATATTGTGATGCTTCGATTGCTCGATTTATCGATTTTTGCTACTTTTCAGATTTCGATGTTTCGGTTTTTCAATTTTTCAATGAATTTTTTCAGTTTTTCGATTTCTCGATTTATCAAGGTTTCGATGTTTCGAATCTTTGATCAACTTTCTGGGTTTTTCGATTTTTCAATTTATCCATGAATCTATTTTTTACCTAAAATTTTGCAATTTTCCAATTTTTAAGGTTTAGATTTTTCGATTTTGGCCTATTTTGATTTCTCAATTTTTTGATTTTTCGAATTCTCGACTTTTCAATTTCTTGATCTTTGATCCTTTGATTTCTCGATGTTTTAGTTTTTCGATTATTCAGTTCTCCGATTTGTTAAAATTTTGATTTTTGATTTCTCGATCATTCGATTTTTCAGTTCTTCGATATTTCTGTTTTCCAATTTTTCGAATTTTATTAAAATTTTTGATACATATATGTATTCCGTAGACTGTTCCTAAGTGGTCTACAACGATTTTAAAAATTAATTTTTAATGTTTCCAAAAACTTTTATCATTTTTTTTAAATTTACTTCCTTATGTCTCCTCAACGATAAACCAACTCAAACCTCTTCCAGTTCTTCGTCTTCGCCGCCCTCGTGGCCGTCTCCAGAGCCTCCATCGTGGCCCAGCCTATCACCTACGCCCAGGTGCCCGTCGTAAAAACCGTCATCGACTCCGAGTACGACCCCAACCCACAGTACACCTACGCTTACGACGTCCAGGACCCCTTCACCGGCGACTCCAAGAGCCAGGTCGAGTCCCGCAGCGGAGACGTCGTCCAAGGCCAGTATGCCCTCAACGACCCCGACGGCACCCGTCGTACCGTTGACTACACCGCCGACCCCATCAACGGCTTCAACGCCGTGGTCAGGAAGAGCCCCATCGTGCAGGCCATCCAAACCGTCGCCGCCACTCCCATCGTAAAATCAGTTCCCGTCGTACATTCCAACAAGGTCGTTGAAGTGACCAACCCCGTCGTCACTAAGGTCGCCAGTCCTGTGGTCGCTAACGTCAACACCGTCGCTTACTCTGCTCCCGTGTCGCAGGTCGCCTACGCCGCCCCCGCGGTGAACGTCGTCGACAATGTTGTCCAGAGCCCAGTGGCGTACACCAACGGGTATGCCTACCCGTACGCCTATAATGCTTACAGTGTTCCTTATGTTAGAGCCCAGTACTACTGAACTAAATTTGATGTATAGACTTGACCCTTGTACAATGTATTATTAGGATAACGCAATAAAATTTTTTGTGTAGTTGGTGTTTTATGGAAAATAGTCTCCGTCCCAGAACTAGTTTTACTTCCCGAGAGTAAGCTAAGGAAGTATAGTACTTTCATATTTTCTCGATGGTCATGATCATGACTAAAAAGCGGATTTTAGGCTAAAAAAGTACATTAACTAAGTGACACCTTAATTTAAATTAAAAAAAAAAACATATTTATGGTACACTTGGTTAGCCTCGAACTTATTAAATCCTAACTATAGAATCTCAATTAAAGGCTTTTTATCTGAACCTATTTCTATTTCTTCTGAAGTTCCACAAGGTAACCATATTGCACCTATTTTATTTTTATTACTTATAAACATATGTTTATTTTTCTTTATCTTTTTTTGTATAACCTTTTGTCTCTTTTGAAACTTTTGTTCTGATAGTCAATAAATCTATATTATTATTATTATTAAAAGGTGATTCAAAAAGAAAATGGTTGTTCAGTATTTATAATTTAACTTCTCAACACTTCAATTTTGGGAATTTTTGCGTTTTTGGCTTTTTGAATGTTTTTCCCGGCTTCTCGACTTTTCGATTTCTCACTTTCTCGATCTTTGGGTGTTTCGATTTCTCGATGTTCCAGTTTTTTTAATTTTCCGCCGTTTTGATTTCTCATATACTCAGTTTTCCGATTTTTCCATTGTTCGAATTTTCTGATAATCGAATTTTTTATTTATTTCCATTTCCTTTTCGATTTCTTCATTCTCTAGTTTTTCGAATTCTTCGAATTTTCAAATTTTCAATTTTTTCGAATTAACGATTTTTGATTTTCTGAATTTTAGATTTTGATTTCTTAAATTTGGGATTTTTCAATTTTTCGACTCTTCAGTTTTTTGATATTTGAATTTTTTGATTTCTTAATTTTTCTATTTTTCGGTTTCGTGTTACACGTTTCCATTTGTAAATTTTTCGATTATTCAGTTTTATCAATTTTTCGATTTCTGTTTTTGTTGAGATTTGGATGTTTCGAATTTTCGGATTTTTCAATTTTTTTCGCGATTTCACGATCTTTGGATGTTTTGATTTCTCGATGTTCCAATTTTTCGAATATTCCATTTTTTGATATTTGAATTTTTATTTATTTCCTTTTCAATTTCACCATTCTCTAGTTTTTCTAATTATTCGATTTTTCACCTTTTCAATATATTCGAATTTGCGATTTTTGATTTTTTGAATTTTCGATTTTGATTCCTTAAATTTTGAATTTTTCAATTTTTCAGTTCTGTAGTTTTTCGATTTTTCAATTGTCTTATTTTTCGATTTTTTGCTTTCTCGAGTTTTCGTTAGTCGAATTTTCAATCATTCTACTTTTCTACTATTCGATTTTTGATTTTTTGTATATTGGCTTTTTCAAATTTTCCACTCTTCAGTTTTTTGATATTTGAATTTTTTGATTTCTTAATTTTTCGATTTTTCGATTTCTTGTTACACGTTTCCATTTGTAAATTTTTCGATTATTCAATTTTATCAATTTTTCGATTTCTCTTTTTGTTGAGATTTAGATGTTTCGAATTTTTGGATTTTTCAATTTTTCGAATTTACGATTTTTTTTCATTTTCTCGAGTTTTTGGTTTTTCAATGTTTAGAATTTATAGATTTTTCAACTTCTCAATACTTCAATTTTGGGAATTTTTCCGTTTTCGGCTTTTTCAACCTTTTTTTCGCGACTCTCGACTTTTCGATTTCTCGCTTTCTCGATCTTTGGATGTTTTGATTTCTCGATGTTCCAATTTTTCGATTTTTCGCTGTTTTGATTTCTCATTTTCATTTTTCATCTTTTCAATATATTCGAATTTGCGATTTTTGATTTTTTGAATTTTCGATTTTGATTCCTTAAATTTTGAATTTTTCAATTTTTCAGTTCTGTAGTTTTTCGATTTTTCAATTGTCTTATTTTTCGATTTTTTGCTTTCTCGAGTTTTCGTTAGTCGAATTTTCAATCCTTCTACTTTTCTACTATTCGATTTTTGATTTTTTGTATATTGGCTTTTTCAAATTTTCCACTCTTCAGTTTTTTTATATTTGAATTTTTTGATTTCTTAATTTTTCGATTTTTCGATTTCTTGTTACACGTTTCCATTTGTAAATTTTTCGATTATTCAGTTTTATCAATTTTTCGATTTCTCTTTTTGTTGAGATTTAGATGTTTGGATTTTTCAATTTTTCGATTTTACGATTTTTTTCATTTTCTCGAGTTTTTGGTTTTTCAATGTTTAGAATTTATAGATTTTTCAACTTCTCAATACTTCAATTTTGGGAATTTTTCCGTTTTCGGCTTTTTCAATTTTTTTTCGCGACTCTCGACTTTTCGATTTCTCGCTTTCTCGATCTTAAGGATGTTTTGATTTCTCGATGTTCCAATTTTTCTATTTTTCGCTGTTTTGATTTCTCATTTTCTCGTTTTTCAATTTTTCCATTTTTCGAATATCCCATTTTTTGATATTTGAATTTTTATTTATTTCCTTTTCAATTTCACCATTCTCTAGTTTTTCTAATTCTTCGAGTTTTCACCCTTCCAATTTATTCGAATTTGCGATTTTTGATTTTTTGAATTTTCGATTTTGATTTCTTAAATTTTGGATTTTTCAAGTTTTCTGATCTTTAGTTTTTCGATTTTTCAATTGTTTTACTTTTCGATTTTTTGCTTTCTCGAGTTTTTGATAGTCGAATTTTCAATCATTCTACTTTTCTACCATTCGATTTTTGATTTTTTGTATATTGGCTTTTTCAAATTTTCCACTCTTCAGTTTTTTTATATTTGAATTTTTTGATTTCTTAATTTTTCGATTTTTCGATTTCTTGTTACACGTTTCCATTTGTAAATTTTTCGATTATTCAGTTTTATCAATTTTTCGATTTCTCTTTTTGTTGAGATTTGGATGTTTGGATTTTTCAATTTTTCGATTTTACGATTTTTTTTCATTTTCTCGAGTTTTTGGTTTTTCAATGTTTAGAATTTATAGATTTTTCAACTTCTCAATACTTCAATTTTGGGAATTTTTCCGTTTTCGGCTTTTTCAATTTTTTTTCGCGACTCTCGACTTTTCGATTTCTCGCTTTCTCGATCTTAAGGATGTTTTGATTTCTCGATGTTCCAATTTTTCTATTTTTCGCTGTTTTGATTTCTCATTTTCTCGTTTTTCAATTTTTCCATTTTTCGAATATCCCATTTTTTGATATTTGAATTTTTATTTATTTCCTTTTCAATTTCACCATTCTCTAGTTTTTCTAATTCTTCGAGTTTTCACCCTTCCAATTTATTCGAATTTGCGATTTTTGATTTTTTGAATTTTCGATTTTGATTTCTTAAATTTTGGATTTTTCAAGTTTTCTGATCTTTAGTTTTTCGATTTTTCAATTGTTTTACTTTTCGATTTTTTGCTTTCTCGAGTTTTTGATAGTCGAATTTTCAATCATTCTACTTTTCTACTATTCGATTTTTGATTTTTTGAATATTGGCTTTTTCAAATTTTCCACTCTTCAGTTTTTTGATATTTGAATTTTTTGATTTCTTAATTTTTCTTTTTTTTCGATTTCTTGTTACACGTTTCCATTTGTAAATTTTTCGATTATTCAGTTTTATCAATTTTTTGATTTCTGTTTTTGTTGAGATTTGGATGTTTCGAATTTTCGGATTTTTCAATTTTTTTTTCGCGATTTCTTGACTTTTCGATTCCTCGCTTTGTCGATCTTTGGATGTTTTGATTTCTCGATGTTCCAACTTTTCGATTTTTCGCTGTTTTGATTTCTCATGTTCTCGTTTTTCGATTTTTCCATTTTTCGAATATTCCATTTTTTGATACTTGAATTTTTATTTATTTCCTTTTCAATTTCACCATTCTCTAGTTTTTCTAATTCTTCGATTTTTCACCTTTTCAATATATTCGAATTTGCGATTTTTGATTTTTTGAATTTTCGATTTTGATTTCATATATTTTGAATTTTTCAATTTTTTGGTTCTGTAGTTTTTCGATTTTTCAATTGTCTTATTTTTCGATTTTTTGCTTTCTCGAGTTTTCGTTAGTCGAATTTTCAATCATTCTACTTTTCTACTATTCGATTTTTGATTTTTTGTATATTGGCTTTTTCAAATTTTCCACTCTTCAGTTTTTTGATATTTGAATTTTTTGATTTCTTAATTTTTCGATTTTTCGATTTCTTGTTACACGTTTCCATTTGTAAATTTTTCGATTATTCAGTTTTATCAATTTTTCGATTTCTCTTTTTGTTGAGATTTGGATGTTTCGAATTTTTGGATTTTTCAATTTTTTGATTTTACGATTTTTTTTCTTTTTCTCGAGTTTTTGGTTTTTCAATGTTTAGAATTTATAGATTTTTCAACTTCTCAATACTTCAATTTTGGGAATTTTTCCGTTTTCGGCTTTTTCAATTTTTTTTTCGCGACTCTCGACTTTTCGATTTCTCGCTTTCGCGATCTTTGGATGTTTTGATTTCTCGATGTTCCAATTTTTCGATTTTTCGCTGTTTTGATTTCTCATTTTCTCGTTTTTCGATTTTTCCATTTTTCGAATATTCCATTTTTTGATATTTGAATTTTTATTTATTTCCTTTTCAATTTCATCATTCTCTAGTTTTTCTAATTCTTCGAGTTTTCACCCTTTCAATTTATTCGAATTTGCGATTTTTGATTTTTTGAATTTTCGATTTTGATTTCTTAAATTTTGGATTTTTCAAGTTTTCTGATCTTTAGTTTTTCGATTTTTCAATTGTTTTACTTTTCGATTTTTTGCTTTCTCGAGTTTTTGATAGTCGAATTTTCAATCATTCTACTTTTCTACTATTCGATTTTTGATTTTTTGAATATTGGTTTTTTCAAATTTTCCACTCTTCAGTTTTTTGATACTTGAATTTTTTGATTTCTTAATTTTTCTTTTTTTTCGATTTCTTGTTACACGTTTCCATTTGTAAATTTTTCGATTATTCAGTTTTATCAATTTTTCGATTTCTCTTTTTGTTGAGATTT